TAGGATATTACTTATTAGTCAATTTCTTTATTTTTTTGTAAAATTATAAACAAATATTGACTATTGTATTAAATGGGTTATCATGGATCATAAATTACGAAAACCATAAAACGCTTCCAGTATAGTAGGCCACGTAAAGTTTTGTTATGAATAATCGAGTTCTATTCCTATTAAGGATTCTTTAATAATCTTAAATACGAATGTGTCCTTTGAAAGGATTTCTTTTAATTTCCTTATCATATTTAGTTTATATGTATGTTAATGGGGAATAAAATAGTATGCGAATTTTAAGTTATAAAATCTAATAATCATAAATAAACACAAACACACACACACACACACACACACGTGTGTGTGTGTTTGTGTTTATTTATGATTATTAGATTTTATAACTTAAAATTCGCGTACTATTCTATTCCCCATTAACATACATATAAACTAATTATGACACATTCGTATTTAAGATTATTAAAGGATCCTTAATAGGAATATAACTCGATTATTCATAACAAAACTTTACTTGCCCTACTATACTGGAAGCCTATATATATATATATATATATATATATATATATATATATATATATATATATTGATTTTATAATTGTGGGTAGATGGTTGACTGTAGTGTATAATTGAAGAGTCCAAATAAAAATAGTACAATAGTAAAATAAATAATAATATTTATTTTTACATTTGCCGAGGTTTCGGCCCGGTGTTCAGGCCTTCATCAGGGCTTAGAAAAGAACCAGATAACAATTTCTTTATATAATTTCATATTCCTTTTCTCTGTTTTACCTTTTATTCTAAAATTAACATTTTTAGTTCTTATGTTACCTTATTTTAATTATGTTTATTTCATTAGTCCGCAATTTGTTGCCGTTATTATTATTTATTTCTCAGTTCTCTGTTATTCCCACATATCCCCATCCCCATCCCCACATATATTATTACAGTAAGACTCGAAATCGGTTTTGTACCAAATATAAGATCCTGTCATGCTCAAATACCATGAATGGGGTACCGTTGGATTCCGAATTTCACTGGGGGTCAGCGAATCGTATTCTCCAGTTTTGTTTTTCTTTCTAAAATAAATAAATTCGTTACAAACATTTTGCTAAACTTCAATACTGGAACGGTGGTAGATCTGTAGATCGATACGGGACAAATTGGATCTTGAAGATTTTGATGCGTACAGCAAGACCCGGATAGTTCCTCTGGAACTATCGGATCCTGCGTTTTTAAGCCCAAAAACGTACTATTTTCGAGATAACGCAAGGCATAGGGTTGACCGGACAGCCTTCGCATCCACACAGCCTTACATTAATTGTAGTACTGTCATTGAATACATGTCTCATTTCGTCGACTTGAGGGTTCTATGATCGAGAGAGGAGGAGTTTATATTATTTATCGATGGTGTTTTTGATCGGCATACCATATCATCGTTAATTGTTCACCAAATCTCAAGATTGAGCCACTAATTTCGAAGGTTTCCTTCCCCTTCAGGCGTTCAAAATAGTCCAATCACCCCTAAAATTCAGGCAAACATGTTATGAAAGAAAACAAACTTTATTTGCGAGTAACTAAAAAATTACGCACTTTTCCCTATACCCATGATCATATAAAAGATTACTAAATCCCCTACAAAAGGAAAAAAAAAATCATCGAAATCGAACTATTTTTAACAAAGATACAGTTTACTGAAATTTGTGAACATATTGGTTCCAAACAAAAATTAAGATTTAAATTAATTTTTGTTATCTTTGTCAACTATATCTATCGATAAAGTAACATTTGATTTCTTTATCTTTTGATACCTTGCATTATTTTTTTTTCTTATTAATTTGACATTTGATAACAATATGCTGTGCGAATTTTTCGCACGGGCCTATTAGTTGTTATTATTCTGCCTACTTTAATGTTTACTCTATCTACTTCATTTTACTTTAAATTTTTCTACTTAAATTTTTTAGTCTATGAATTTCTCCTTTTTATATTCAATGTTTATAGTTTTTTTTTTTGTTATCTGGTTCTTTTCTAAGCCTTGATGAAGGCTTGAACTTAGGGCCGAAACGTCGGCAAATGTAAAAATAAATATTATTATTTATTTTTGCTATTTTTATTTTGACTGCCCCCCCCTAACTATATTGATTTTAGTTTAGCAAAAAATACACAGAACATGTAATTTTTTTTTTTTAACTCAACTTGATTATGAGCAAAAAAATAATTATAAAAATGTCTATTTTTAGCTTTAAAAATTAACTCTCACTTCATTATATCTTGTCTCTTTCATAAATCCTGCAATTTTTATGATTTCAATAAAATACACAGGAATCGACGACATGAGAATCTAAAATAATGAAGAGGTATATAATATTTCACCCAACGAGAACATGGATAGCCAAAGATGCGGGTATTTTGAAGAAGTGATTATTTTTTCATTCTCGCCTCCATTCATCTTTCCAGGCCCATTGAAAAGTTCCTCCAAGATTAGGCGAGACTATCGGACAGAACTTGCAATCGATAATTACGATCCCTCGTAAATAAAAATCATATCGGCTATCTTGTAATGGAGTAACGTCCTCCTTCCCCGCGGTAGCACACCTCCTTTTAATTAATTAGCTGTTGAAAACTTGACATGGAAATTTTCAATTTCAACTTTGTGCTGTTCAAATAAATTCTCCCTCTTCTTCTCCCTGATCATTTATTTAACCAGTATTTTTTTATTTTTATCAAATAGCAAATCATAAGAATTTTTTTACTTGTGTATGTGTTTTTTATTTCTGGGATGGAGAGAATCTTTTATAAGACCAAGTGCAACTAACAAAAAGTCACAAAAACAGTGTGAGATTTCTAATTATTAAAATACCGCCTCCTAATAATTCTTTGCCACCCCATGGAACTGCTGCCAAGCACTACTTCGCGGTAGGCAGAAGGGTTACATGCCTATTTCTTCTGTGTACATCTTAGTTAAGCGAAGCCATTCTCCTGCCTTGTCATCATCAAAGCGACTAAGTGGTGATCTCGTTCCGAATTTCATGTCTAGTTTTTCCTTATCTCGAGCAAAACCTGATCAGAAGAACGAATGTTACACCGTTTCATCCACAGGATCACAAGTTAGGCACGATGATTTATCCTCTATTTTGAAGCAGGCTCTGAAGCAGCTGTGCTCTGTAAGCAGTTGGGTGAGGTAATAATCTACCTCCTCTTCTTTCCGAAATATCCATGTTGATATATTGGGAATCAGATGGCGGGTCCATGTTCCAGAAGATCAGACGTTACAGCGTGCCATCTTTCAAGAGTATGATTTCTCTCTTATTTAGCCCAGTGAGCATCCTCTTCTTGTTATCTTCGGAACATTCGGTTGCATTCACCTCCCAAATGATCAATCGAAGGCTTATCTATATCGTAAGATACTGCATACAGCATCGTAGGATACAGTGCAAAAAGACACGCAGGGAACTTTTTTGATTCACACTGATAACTGCACTTGGCAGGCTTTGGCCAAGATCGGTGTTGTGTACGAAAGAAACATTAGCCAGAAGCTTTCTCTGATTTTCCCTTACTCCACTAATATTTTGCATAATCCTGACATTAATCACTATCGCTGCTCTGCTTCTAACATTGTGCAAGTGTAGATCATATCGAAATCTCGCGTCGATGTAAACTCCGAGGTATCTAATCGATGGCTTGGATAAGATATCAATCCCCCAACGGTGAGACTAATTGTCTCCCTTACTTTCCTACTGCTTATTAATACTGCCTCAGTTTTATGATCAGCTAGCTGGAGGCCTACCGCTGAAAGCCACTAACGAATGGTGAGGACTGCTTTGTTCGCATTATAAGTTATCTCCTCCAAGAGTTTCCCCAAGAACTATGATTGCTAGATCGTTCACAAAGGCGAGTGTAATAGTTTCTTCAGGCAGGGGTAGCAGCACCGTACCATACATAACATTCCACTGCAATGACCCTAGAACTGAACCCTGAGGAAAGCCACCTCTTGTAACTTTTTAATCCAGCTTCTGTATCCTACCTTAAGATTCTATCGGTAAAATAACTCAATAATCCTTATGCTTTAGGTATTGCGGGATTTCCATTCTTCGCAATCCGTTCAAGATATAATTCCACCGAGCTCATTTAAAAGCATCTTTAACGCCCAACGTTATAACGCGCAGTACTTCTTACCACCTCTTCTCCACCCCTTTTCCGCCATGGCAGCCCTAGCAGTTCTGGTTGAAAAATTGATGGCATTGTGTGTTAGTGTGAATGAAATTTCGATTTTCATGAAATATTAATATTCAAATACCGTTTTGGTTTTTTTTTTTTAAAACTTGAAGGATTATTATTAAATTAATCCAATTAGCACTAAAATGAAATTACACGAAAACCAAAAAATTGAAAGTTGTTTTAAAAAAGAGTATAATTCAATAGTATTAATGTGGGAAAAGGAAAAGGGTATTTCATATGAAAAGGAGTTTTTTTTTTAAATTTAGATTTCCTTTGCAAATTAGTCTAAGAAATTCCTTTTTTTTTTTTCTATCCTACTTTCGGACCTCCTCTTTAAGACTGTAAGCTTCTAAATCCTCGTCGAGACTTCTTATCTTACTTACCTCCGATTTTCTTATCTCCTTCTATAATTAAGGTTTCACAAAAAAATAATTACTATCAGTCGTAATTGCAATATAATAATGATATATATATATATATATATATATATGATTTTCTATATATATATGTATATATATATATGTATATATATATATATATGGTTAAATTAAAAAATAAATACAATTCAAATTTTCAAACAGTACAACAATTAACAATGACAAACTCTACTTTCTTTTGAAGTAAATTTTGTCTAGTTTGCTGTGAAGCAATTGTTAATTACTTAAATTAAACATTTCTTTAGTTATCGCTATATATATATTTATTAGAAGTTTTGTAAAGTAATTGATTTATTTATAACAATATACTAAACATTTTAAATGAATTATTTTTCAGATTTAGTGAAAAATGAGTTGAGATGTGCTGGGAGCGGATTCTGGCTCCACGCAGAAACAACAACCTATTAAAGGTTAGTTTTGTTATTATTAAAATTTTATTATTAACAATTTTTATTTAATTTGTGACACTTTTGGTCTTAAAACATGATACCTCATGTCGAATAAATCAAGATAAAGAAATGAAAAGGACATATTGAAAATATGTTAACCACAATAGAAATGAAATTTCTTCTGTTCAACAATATACTTAGCTGCTAATTATGATTTTCATCTACCTTTCAAGTTAATTGTTACTACCATATTTTTTTTAGTATTAAGTAATTCTTATTTATCTTTCTTAATTGCTAGGAGAATTAGTGAAACATTTTTTTTCCATCTCAAGTCGTCTCTGAATGTTTCAACTATTATAGTATAGTTTTATATTATTGATGTAATTGTAAATACATATGTAATAAAAGAAATGAACATAAAAATTGCGAGAAAAAAAACTACACTAATGTCGCACCCTTACTTTCAACAAATTGAAGGGTCCTATGTTTTAACTTGGTTCGGTTACTAAGAACTGTAAGGATCCGAGTCGAGGAGTCCAACTTTGTACTCCAATCTTAGGAGTGGTTTCTGGATATTAAATTATTGAGTTCTAAGTGATAAAAACTATTTGTTTGACAAAAATAAACATTGTTATCAAGTAATTTCTGCTTAACGGGCCACTGTGTTAATTACCTATTGTAAATAAAGAAACAATAATAAAAACTATTTTTTTTTTATAAGTGTTTGATTGTAAACTTTTATTCGTTAATTATTAATTTCATTATTTTTTGTTCGCATCGTAGGCTTCAATAAGAATATTAATAAATAGTAATAGAGTTTTAGCTACTATCTATAGGGAGGTTACGGGTCTGATAATAGGTCGAAAAATATTTGATCCATTCCGAGGAATCCTAAGAGCCCAGAAAAAGAAATATATAAAATTTTATAATTTTTTTATATTACTGTTTCTGACTTTGCTCTGCATAGATTTCTAAGTTATTATATATCATTCGATTTTTTTTTTATTGATTTTTTTTTTTGTGTGTAAACTAAGAAAATCATATTGCTAATTGTATTAAACGAATTCTAATATATAATAAATTATGGAAACCGTAAGATGCTTTCAGTAAAGTAGGCCAAGTCAATTTTTGTCATGAAAAACGAATCAGGTTCATTTTTAGCGTCCATATTTTCTACGACAGCGATAAACACAGATGGATTTCATAAGAGCTATGAATATTGAGGCAAAAATTTTACATTTTTCGTTTGCAACGAAAATACATGTTTAACGGTTTTCAGTGGTGCGGAAAACGAATATCACATTATTGTTTATCACAAAAAAATATATTTTATAATATAATCTGTGCATAATATGTACTATACATGTTTATCCTTACTTTCCGATATCCGTCCGGTTTAGAAAAATATATATACTTGGCCTGTGGACCAGGGTATATATTCTGACGGTCCTATTAGGGATTAAAATATACTGGGAGCGACCGGTAAGGAAGGATTGGAACCAATTAAGAGCAGTAGAAAAGGAGATATTTTTAAGTTTGGTTAGGAGGATGTTGTATACTACTGAATCAAAAGCTTTGGAGAAGTCAAGGAGAATAAAAATGTTTAGTTCTTGCTGATCTATGGCTGTATGAAGGTCTTGGGAAATTTTGATTAGGGCAGACTGAGTAGAATAGAATGAAGAATGGGATAGCAGAGATTGGACTAGTCCGCTCTAAAGGCTTGGAGAGGTTTGAAAGAAGGGAAATTGGACGGAAATCATTAAGTACATCGTTGATGGATTAGAGGTCTTCTTTAAGAGGCGAACCAGGGCAGTTTTCCAGGATGTAGGGTAGCATTTTGAAGAGATTAATCATAGATATGATAAAGGGTCGGAAGAATGGATGGCAGCGCGGCTTTAATTAATCTGACTGTGATCTTATCGGGACCATAATCGTTGGTATGGGACTTCTCAATGGAGTTAAAGAGATCATCAGGGGTAATGTGGAAAAAAAAAGAAGTGATCAGGATTAAAAGAGGAATACATCGGAGCCGGAGTGGCTGCTGGGGATGAGGTTGTGAAAGGGCAGGAGATAAAGTAAGCGTTGAGGTTATCAGCAGGAACGGAAATGGAATGGGACTGAGGTGTATTACCAATGTTTTGTTTTCTAAGAATAGCCCATGTGGCCTTGGTATTAGGGGAGTTGGATAAGGAATGATGGTAGTAACTGTATTTGGCACAGCGTACTGTTTATTGAGTGCTGTTTCGAAGCTGTTTGAAAAAGAGAAAATCTTCAGGAAATCGAGTTCGTTTAAACCATCTCCTTGTAGCATCTCTTTCTCTCATACACTCTCTAAAATCAGGAGTGTCCAAGGAGCGAGAAGATGTCGGATAGTTTTTGTGATAAGAGAAGCATGTCGGTCGAGGATGGAGGGAAGGTGTGTGGTAAGGTTTTCTACCATGGTGTCGATGGATTTTGAGGAATAAATGGGATCTCACTGAATATCGTCAAGATCTTTTGACAGTGTTTCATGAGTAAGAGAATGTAGATTTTGGAAGGATATCGTCGGAGAGAATAAAATGAGACAAGGATATTGTAAGAAATCTGGATAAGATCATGGGAAGATAGAAACGGGATCGGTTGCTGAAATGCGGCAAGGACTTTGTCTGAGGAGTCTAGAATAAACGGATCGAGCCAGGACTTCGAGAACTGAGTTTGATGGGTTGGATTGTAGGGTACTATGTAAAGTGTGAGAGAATGGAGGAGGCTTGTCAGGTAATAATTGGTGTTGGTTTAAAGTCTCCGGAGAGGATGACAAAAGGGATTAAGTTGTACAATGAAGTCTCAAACGATTCATCATAAGGAAATCTACAAGGGCGATATATGACACCAAACAGAATGGCAGATGAAGTTGTGGGGATTTCGACAAACAGGTATTCAAGGTGCGGAGAATCGGTTAAGGAAGAGCAATGAAGGATTTTGGATTTAACGGTGTCATGGATAAAGTATAGTTAGGGAGAAGTATCTGGGCAGACGGGATTGTGGATTTCAATCAATTTTAATTCGGATGCGGCAATTAAATGGTAGAAGTTATGGAGGAAAAAGTCATAAAATTCATCAAAATGGGCTAAGAGTGATTGAGCGTTGGCATGACAGGTTAAAAGGATATTAGTCGTGGAAGAAAGAGGGTTGTCTTGCTAAACGTACAGTAGGTGTTTGGGGTAGGAATATTTCTACAGAGGCTAGAGCTAATATGAGCCCCCAGACCATAATTAATGATAATTAATAAAATAAATTAATAAAATTTCATTTTTTACACTTACTACCACTTTACTTGTAATATAGTAAAAATACGGTTGTTAATTTCAATAAATAAAGAAAATAAATTTCAGTCAAATTGTAATAAAAAATAAACATAAACTATTGCACGATTTATCGATCGTCTTAGGGGCTAAAAAATGACACAAATTTAGTCTTAAGTTTAAAGAGGAGCTCCTGATACCAGATTCTATCGAACACTTGAGTGACATCTATAAATTCTCCGTCAATCGTTATAACTGATGAATGGTTTAAATTTGTGTTCAGACTCCAAATTGATGATCAGGTATTATGTCTTCGTTTGTTAGTATGTCAAGAAGTCATATGATATATATATATATATAAAATATGAACTAACATTTTTTATGATTATATTATAAATAAACAATAGGAATATTTATTGATAATATGTAAGCGAAGACAGCGAGCTCTATGCTAGTGCATCATTCACTGCTGAAATAGAACCAGAGGCCAACTGGGCGGATGTAGTGTACTTCGCTAATATTAGCACAAGAGGAGTCTCTGGGTTTCTCTCCTCAGAAATATTTTTTCGATTTGTCCTTTTTCCAATTATTATATCACAGTTGATATAATTTTTCTGTTTTCTATTTTATCAAATAAAATTGGTGATTGACTCCCAAACTCACCTTCCCAATAATTTTTTTATGATGTTTTTTAATGTTTACTTTATGAAAATCTTTTAACATGGTAATTTTATTTTATATACTACAAATTTGTTTTCGTTTTATTTGAAAGATAAATTTGGATAAAAACTTACTTTTTCAGTTAAACTTGGAGTGAATAAGCTGATGATTGACCCTACTCAGGTTTATCATATTATTATTTTTCTGTTAGATTGAATAACACTACATTCACACACCGTAACTATATTTCTGTAGTACATTTTTCAATTCCATTACGCGGTAATCGTCTCAAGACACTTGGCAATTCTAAAATTTCGTATTCTTTAGTACCACTTTTAAGTTATAAAAACATAATTTGTAAGAAAAAAATATACATGATGACATATTAAAATACTAATAAAACAATATAAAATGATTCTTGCTTTATTATGATTTTTAAGATTGACTCATGTATATTTTTTGAAATTTTAATACATTTGTCAATAAGAAATACCGTTATAACGTGTCTCACACGCTAGACGTAAAAGAAAAATAGGTTAAATAAATGATTTGATCAATTATATTGAGAGCCAAATAGAAAATTTCATCTTTCAATTGACAACTGTTTGAGCAAGCTTAATTTTCTAACATCAAACCTATCTAATACTCTCAGTCCAAAATTCTTCGAACTAATGCTCCATTATATGTATCCAACAATACACTATATCATGTCTTACGTAAATTTCTGTTTTTCTCAGCACCTTACTCATCCTCCAAATCCTTTCCCTACAATTCATCTACAAGTTGAAATGGTAGTGACTTCGAGAGCTTTAATAAATATGTGTATTTGAGATCTTGGAATGGTCTGATTCTCAACTGAGGTCATATATGCCTGCGACTATAAGGTAGTCCTCACATAGCGTTGGTTCCTTGTAGTTGAGAGTGAAGCGCCTAGATCTCCTGAAATCCTTCATTTCCATACGTGGGAGTACAAGACATGTTCGGAGTTACCTTGGTGGATTGTAAATAATGCATATAAGAGTTATTGTTGTTTCTTTTATTTATTTTTTCTCCGCTCTTTTGGCTCCATCTCTGTCAGTC